AAGTAAATGTAAACTGGTTGTTGAGGCATTTTGGGGTGGTAAGTCTAGGCAAACCACCTGAATAGCATAGAAATTCATCAAAATCACTCTCATAATGACTAATCAGTGTGTTGCTGACAACATATAAGGCAAATTGGTTGAAGAGGTAATTCCTCTTAACTTGTCTGTAAAGGAATGGTTGGGCACTTGGAGATGCCTGGTTTTCAACAAAAAGGTGCAACTTAACCTCTATTATAGGTTCAGAAGTTTGCTTGATAAAATTGAGTGGGGACTTAACATCATCTTGGGTTCAGAGGTCCCTCTTCTTTGGATAAAGATATAACTTGACCTAGTGATAAGAGGTTCAGCAGTTCCAAGGGAGTGTTGTCCTTAGGGTGATAGATGATTTTACAGTGGCATCTCAGAGTGTCCATGTAGTGATCACCACACTTGATATTTCTGCTGATGGGCCAAGCTGACAAAAAATAGTTAGATGCTTTTCTCAGGACCTAACGTAAAACAATAGGCTTAACTATCTCAAGGGAACCTTTGATCATTAAATTAATCAAGTCATAAGAGGTTAAGTCTATTAAGTAAATAATCAGACCATTTAAAATACTAAAAGTAACTCAGGACATGATGAGTGATAGGCGACTACTATGTGTTAGGGTGGAAATAGATTCATTATTGTAGGAGGCAATGGCACAGTCCAGGTTCAGAGTTGGAGTAGATCAGGATTCATCATCAAAGACTGAACTGAGATTAATAATTGTAAACCAGTTAAGTGGTTTCCTTTACTTTCATAAGGAAACAAATAGATAAGGTATAATAGGAGCATAAGGTGGTTAACTAGAGGAGATAAACACTAAATATAACTTCAGGCTTAACATTAAGATGATATTAATTCAGTTCTGATATTCGTCCCTATCTCATCAGTTAGTGGAGCACTAAATGGGACTATCCAGAATTTGTTGGTTGTGAAATCAGCATTATTATGGGAAATTACACAGTGCTATAAAGATATATATATATATTTTTATTTGAGGTGGGACGACCTGGGGACAATACTGCACCAATTAGGGAAGTGAAGAAAATGGGAAAGGAGGATAAAACCCAGAAAACCTCCATGCGCGGCCTATGATAGGCCAGGAACTCCATGGACCGCCTTTGCTATTCACTATCTCATTTTGGGGCATTGGCGCGCAAAACCAACACAGTCAAAATTGTCCCCTACCCAAAGTCCATTACCAGGATCAAACTCGGGAGGCAGTGGTAGAGGGTCTATACTCTACCACTGGGGTATCCTCCCTGCTATAAAGATATATTCTTATTAATGATTTTGGACTTTAGGCCCAATAAGATATAAATTGATAAATTGATATTAAATATTAAATAATAAATATTAGATACAAGCTAATGTTATATTAATAATAGATAAGTTAACATCAACTAAAGTAACAACTGAATCATAACCTTAAAGCTAAGGCTTTATTTATACTAGGGCGAAGCCTAACACACCCTTTTGCCTGCCAGTGACATGTTCCATAGATCATTTATACATAAATAGGAAGCTTTGACTTTTCTCCTTGCCATGGTTATACTTTTCCATTAAATCAATCTGCATGGGGCCCACAGGTTCAGAAATATCATGTACAGCTGGAGTGGGAGGCCTCTCAGCATCATAAACCTCAGTTTTCAGTTATCTATCCTGAATATGAGTGTGGTCAAGGTGAAGGTAAAGGAAATGATGTCCTATTGGAGTTTTTTACTTAAGGATTTATAAGGTGTTGGGTTGCCCTAACTCCTATATCTTGGTGATCTAAAAATTCCCTTAGTCTGTTTAATAATCTTCCACTGAATCTCTTCTTGTTGGTCCTCTAGGTTATATAGTTGTAAAGTGATTTGATAAAATTTTAAGCTATTTGATGGGTCTGTTGGATATTATGCATGGCATTGCATGTATTTAGAGATTGGTAATACCATTGCAGAGCGCTTCTAGAGTCAAATTTGTAATTGATCTAGTTCCTTTCATACTCATCTAGTTTCTATGGACCACCCCACTCAATTACCTCTCTAAATCTTAAGGTTGGGATTCATTGTTTATCTAAGCATGGTTCAGTGTAAGGAGGAAGGCCAGGTGGTCCAGGGGTCCTTCATGACTTGGATTTTCTCTTAATCTGGTAGTTCATTTGGGCCCTAAGGCCCATATGGCCCTTCTTGAATATACACTTCTTGGGTTGAAGGCAATTTAGCCCTTTTACTGAGCTGACAAATCTAATCTAGCAGCTCATAAACTGTGAATCATAAATACATTAATGTTAAATAAATTAAGTCAATAACTCAGTTACAACTTGTTTTTTAATTTTTGTAGAGGGTCACCAAAACATTTGAGATTTTCTGAGTGAAAACACCATGAAGGTATCCATCAACTCTATGGTCTAATCATAGAATCCAGTTCTGTATCACATTTATTACTCTTCATTTATCCATAATGGCACCTTAGCTAACCTAACTAAAATTAAGGAAGTTTTATATAATACAATAAAACAAAAAAGACGTTAAGTAATAATATAGTGTCTCCAAATTTCACATGGTGCAATCCTAAAAGTTGCATATGATGTTGGAGATCTGGATGAACAAGCAGTCAGAGGTATAAGTTGGTTTGGGTGACTCCACTTCACTACTTGGGAAAGTTGCAGTCATGTATATGTGCATAAGATTTTGGTCAACCTGAGTTGAATGGGATCTACTAAAGCTGTAGAAGCCTGAGGAGCCCAAGTTAGCTCTGGTTGAATACTGGCTTGTTCCAAACAACCATTAGAGCATCCAATCAACTGCTGTTACTGTGGCCCCAAAGCCACTATTCAATGAGGGAGAGCTATCTTTGTAGATGCATTAAAATTACTGCGATGTGCGCCATAATGCACAGAGGTACTTAAAAGATAGCAAATAAAAGCAACAAAAAAAATGTTCTTTAACAAGATTGAGATTTAAAACAAAATAGGTTGTACTCTCACAATTAAGGACACTGACACCTAGTTAGGAAATGAGGTTTGGTAGTTGGCGGTGCTGTTCTTTTTACTTTATCTCTTGGAAATCTTCTCCAGTTGCCAATTATTCCTAAATTTTGAGCATGGGAGGAGAGAAACAGTGAGAAAATTGTCATTAGAATTGGGGTTGGGAGATGTGATGGTACACATCATAATTGGCTTCTCCCTAACTTAGCTTTCTTAAATTTTTTTAAAGTTTTCAAATCAAGGCGCGCTCCATCCTCAGAGTTTTAGGATTTTTATCAGCAAATTAATCATAAACTAAAAAGCAAGTTGGGTAAATAATTAAAGGGAAGAGTTGGAATTGGGCTTGGAAATTAAAATTTACAGTAAATTTGAGTATTCATATCATAACTTGACTTTTTATAACAGATTCAGGATTTTAGAAATGGGAAATATAGGAAAATGGATGGCCATAGGAAGACTTTCTTGATGTACCTTTGCCATCTTGGCAGTATAGTTGATAAATTTCTCTTCATAAGAGCGTAATCCTTTCAATATACAAAATACTAGGCATTGTGGGGATTAGAGTGAGCGCAAGTCTAGGAGTTTCTTAGTAATAAAATTGTCATTTCTATCTGAAAAGGGGGAGTAAGAAACACCTATCTTATTGCCTTTATGGAAAGCTCAACAAACACGCCCTTAAGGTTAAATGTTCTATGAAGTAAAGATTCCCAAAATCTCAATTTATCTGATTGAATCTGATAGAATATATTGCCAAGTGCCATAAGGATAAAAGTATTTAAAGCTCTAAATTACTATGCATTTGTACTAAGGACAGTATCTTTTGATTGTTGGAGAGGATTTATTGGGTTACACTAATTCTCTCTTCCATTTAATGACTTCATTATTTCTGGAATTATTTACCATTAGAAAGGTGCATTTCTTTTTATTAGCCTTCATAAACAAACCTAGCAGAAAACATCTATATCATGAATCTGGTATTTCTAGCAGTTTTTAGAGCTATGAGAGTATTAGTTTTATAGTTTCAACAATCTACTTAGCAGAATGATCTGTCATTATGGTAACTATGCTCTTTAGTAGTATATACTAGTCAAGATATGAGATAGAGTGTATTTTATTTAAGAAAAAGTGATGGACATTTATAATTCTTTTGGGTATGCTTTCATTCTGAATGTTGTACCTTTTGTGTAACAAGATTTTTATTATTGAGAGAGCTTTTTTGTTCATGTCATAGTAAAATTTTTGCTCCAAATATTGTTTGTGCTAAATCTGAATGGGTTTGCTCCTTTGACAAATTAGGGTTAAAAATGGATTCATTGAGAGTAATAATCATTTATCAATGTTTGTCCCATCAAATACTTAGCTTGTACTCTCAAACTAACTCTATTTATTGTCTCTCTTAACACATCAAAAACAAATTTTTATCTAGTACTAAAAAAAACAAATTTTTAGTTTTTTCTTTTATTAAATTTTAAAAATTTTATAATAAGAAACATCAGATAGCAACCATCAATAAAGAGAAGTTCTATTATACAACATTTTATGAAATTCATGAACAAACCATTCGTTAAACAATGTTTTTTATACAAAAATGGTTAAGATTTTAGATTGTGTGATGAGAGAAGTACCTTTAAAAAACTTGTCTAACCAATCCCTTATTTTTATGCAGAGTTAGACTAATCAATCTTATTAGTCTGGGGCTACTGATTTTTAGAATGGCAAACTTATATGAAGTTTCTTGCATGATGGCAGAGTAAAAGTTTGCAACCCGTTGTAGATATTTCCCTGGTTATGTTCATAGTTTTTCCTGATATTTTTGGTATATAAATAAATTATTTAAAACAAGTCGCTTCATTACTTTGTCTGCATCTATTATTTTTGTACCTACAGTTGGAGTTTTTATTACAAAAAATATCATGCCTAATATTTAGTTGTATTTAACTTTTATATTTTTATTTAACTGAGGCAAGCCGACCAAGGGGATGAACATTACTGATATAAAAAAATCTCCCTCGCGGGGAATCGAACCCCGGCCGCTCCGGTGAAAGCGGAGAATCCTAGCCACTGGACCACAAGGGACATTACAATTAACTTTTATAAATTATCTAACTAACTAGAAGTTTTTTGTGATTATTACACCTGTGATAGTATTTTAGGCTCAAGAGATTGTAGCTAATTGAATAAACCATTTAGTACTAAAATGTTTATATTGCTACACAAACTCATTTGCTAACATGCTTATATTAGGATTATATCCATAACTTTATATTAGAATAGTATCAAGAATAAATTTTTAAGGAACACTGACCAGGGGATGGGCATTACCAATTCAAAGCAATAAAGACCAAAACAAATGGGGCTACAAAAAAAATAAAAACATCCAACTAGGCAGGGAGCGAAGTACCGCTAACCCACCATGGCAGAGTTAGAGGGAGGGTTGGGCAGCTCTTCTTCAGGCATATCTTTTATGAAAGATGCATATTTTGAAGAAGTGGACAAAAGCTGAGAGCAAGGGTGTTGGGCATTAGCGTGTTGGGGTTGGAGGAGTGTGAAGTAATGGTTATTTACCTCAATATCAGCTTGTAAGACAGTCCCAACTAAATCTGCAACATGATGTTCAGCTTGAAAGTGGGCATCTGGGAGTTGGCCAATCTGACTATATTTTGCCAAATAATTTTAAAGGTTAGATCAAATGCTGCTAGTTTTGCAACATGTATGACAGCGTCATTGGCATCATTGGCTGATTTAATGATTACCTCCCGTGCTACTTTAGAAAAATCAGATGAAAAGTTGATTGTGTTCAGCCCTTTATGGAATTGATCCATTGATTGTGCCACTGCTTTGCAGAGGTGGTGGCAATGGGGCTAGGCCACCGCTGCTAAGGCAAGCTGGTGGTCACTGTTTGAGGGGATGGCATTGGGTTTAGGAGATAGCATCTGGTGAGAGGGTTTTGTCAAAATTGGAGTTATAAAATTCAGCCCATTCATATTCATCTGGGCCTTTTTAACTGTATTCATAATTCTCATTCATAACAATTTTATCTGTTTCATCAACTTCATCCAATAGGTCCTAAGGATTTTGGTTCACAAGAATAGTGGATGCAGAATTTGGGTGGGTGGTAGTAGGCAAATGGGCGGATGCTTGGTTGCAAATGGTGGTCCAAGCCTGACTATGATTGGTCAGGTTGAGCTCAGGGTGTTGAATGTGGCTGGAGGTTTTGGTGGGTGCTTTCATGCATTGGCGCAGCATGCAAGAATGTTGGGTGGGAGGGGGCAACAAAATTACCCATTCAGATTCCTCTGAAAAGGGCTCATAAATAGTAACAGGTGAAGCGGCATGGGGGCAGGACTTTTAGAGTGGTCAAGCTCAAAACAGAGGGGACAAATTTGTTAACTGCTATCAACATAAACCCAAAAGAAATGCTCCAGTGCTGCAGCAATGTAAGCATGCAGGAGAGTTGTTGGGCAATGGCAGAGTGATTTGGAATGATGATGCAGTTGTTCAAGGGGCAGCAAGGCGCACTGCACCAGAAGGAATGGTGTGGACTATGTTGTGCTGAGTGCCATAATCCAAAAGCCCTGACATCAACTTGTCATACAGAATTTGGGAAGGGAGATGCAAAGGGAGGTTGGCAATTGAGACCACCAGTGTGGTGTCATCAGGGAGATGAGTTTGGGTTGTAGGGATGGGGGTATTTTTATAAATTAAGGGAGTCAACGCCGCCGCTGCAGCATCCTCCTCTGTTTGAGATCCTATGTCAAAATAGCTCTTAAAAGAGCGGAAATTGATAAAGCCAGCCAGCGCAAAGGCAGTAGTGGCAAATTTGATTATTGCTTTGTCAGTATATGGGAATAAATGCCCATAGTCAACATGGAGGCAAAATTGGATAGTGGATCTAGGGAGGGCAAGAGGATGGGGGCAAATTGAGTGGATGTGCGCAAGGTGAAGTGCAAAGTTTCATGGAGGGACAAATTTACCAGTAGAATTTGGTGGACAATTATAGCCTGTCCAAATGCATTTCCCTACATGGCAAAAAATGCTTGGAGGTGGATCACTGCTGCCCCACACTGGAGCAGCAGAAGGCAAATCCAAGAACATCAATTTGAAAATGGACTTGGACAGACAGTGGTAGGTAATTTAAACTTTTTGTAAAATTTTCTTAAAAATGAGATTGAGCGTAAAGAAAAGCCTTATATTAGTATAGTATCTAAACTAGCATTTTTATGACTATATATTTAATATTACAATATTTCAACTCTGCTTTTTCATATGTGATAGATATAAAGTTTTTTTATATTTACTTTTAACTATCAGAGTTGCTACATCACACTTTTTGTAAACAAATATAAGCTTCTAATAACTGGGTCATATAGATATAGATTCTCTTATAAGCTTTAGCTGGTTGAGTTAATGGTAAAAAAAGTAAAATAAGCAATAGCTATCTTACTTGGCCTATATGTTATCTAATCTTAAATTATCTAAACAAAGTGGTTTTGAATTTTTTTTTCTAGTATAACTTTGTTGGGCTTTTAAAAACCTGAAATAACATTGTCAGGATTAATATAATGATTGTTTCAAAATCCCTACTTCAAAATTTAGCCTCAATAAGTTGAATCTTGAGCCATCATGAACAAAACTTGTCCCTAAAGGCACTGATAAAAATTTTGATTAGGAAGCATTATGCACACAAGGATTTAATCCAGATGAGGGAATTACATCCCGCTTCCCAAAAGTTAAGAGGCGTGACCCTCACCATTGTGGTCATAAGGACAATGCAGAACAATGAGGGTGCTGACCAGGTGGTTGATCTGGAAGTTTGTGAAAGATCCTGATTTTTTAGGGCCATGGAGGTCCCCTTAGGCATCACATCCTCATATATCATATAAATATTGACTCTAACTCAAAAAATGAGTCTATTTTCACCCCATCTTTTCATCTTCATTGAACTCTCCACTAGTTTACAGCTTTGAGAAAATTTAAACTTTGGCTAAAGCCAAGAAGATTTTTACACTGAGGTAAGTTGTGCTCACATCAGGAGGCTCCAAGATGTCCAAGTGAAAAAGTCTATTATAAAAATGGAGAATAATATCAATCATTAAATTAACCTGCTGAAATTTCAAGAAGCATAACCTGATGGATCAATACCTCTTAGTATGAGGTGCCTCCTATCCAGCCTGAAAGCCTAGAGTTTTAGGCCACCTACCAGTTTACCCTACCATCCATTGACAATGATCAGTATCAACTCTAATATGAGAATTTCAATGAACTTAATCAACAACTAAAGAATGGCATCTACTCTGTGGGAGGATGCTCCAGTTGCACCCGCGCCTCTTCAGTGCCAACCACAATGTGAGATCTATATACCTCAGCTCTACTACCATCAGAAGAATTGGCATTGGGTACTTAACGCTATCTCTTAAGCCTTTGCCATCCGTCCATACATCACCTCTTAAAATTAGTTGGGTTTCATCATCATGAAGTATCATGACAACTAGGGCTTAATCAACCCTGCACTCAAATACTGTCAGGGAAACTGGAGTGCAGGAGGTCGCTGGAGGGAAAGATACAGGACAAAGGTGACACAACAAGGCCAAGTGACCCAATAAAATGAAGAGACATCCTAAACAATCAGTATTGTGTTTCCATATAGATCTTAGGAACAAAATGCACACCAAACTGGCCACAAGCATCAGGGACATAAGGTCCTGGGAGCTGGGAAGGGTGGCAAAAAATCTAGAGCAAAATGCAGTGAAATAGGAGGAGGTGGAGTTTGCAGCATAGGTGGTGGAGTAGGTGGCGGACTCAGGTACAACAGGAGGGGCGAACTAGTTTGGAAAACGGACTCCAGCCATTGCAAAACTCTGCAGAGTAGTTTTTATGTGGAAAACCCAAGTACAGAAGATGTGCTAAAATCCTTATTTTATTAAAAGGATCCGTTTATCTGAGAAAAGCAAAGCCTTTCTCATCTTGGAACTAATTTTATAGGGGGTTTCTTCATGAAGATTCCAGTGGTTATTGGAATCTGATATGAGCTACAAATTCGTCATTTTTCAACAAAATCAAAATTTTTCAAATTTGGCCAGATTCCAAAACCTCATATCTTGTGATTTTTTGGGTGTTGAGTTCGATTCCCGCCTTAGCTTGTGTATCGATCAAGCCGTTTCCCTCAGCCCTGGCTGGCAAAGCTAAAACCCATTTTTTGTCAGTGACCTTAGATAGGTCATTGGTGACCTTTAGGGGTTCTGGTCTCTGCCCCAAGGGCTATTTGAATTTGGCTTTAGATGGGCAATTAATTTCAGGAAAAATTTCACTAGCTGTGACATCACCCTCCACTCTTGGATGGAGTTCAACACCACCTGAGGGGATATTGGCCAAGGCAAAGTTCTTGTGGGGAGTGGGTAAATTCAAGGCAGCTAGAGAGGTTTGGGAGGCAGGTCCTGCGGCATATAGAAACTAGAGTGGAAGTCATGAATTAAGTCCTGAGCATTGGTCATGTCCCTATAAGATACCCAGCTGTTCTGTCTCATCATATCCTTTCCAGGACACCAAGTATTGCAGATGGCACCGGAATAGGCGAGAAGCAAGAATGGCATCAATCTCATATTGGGGTTCACCATCCACTATCACAGGATCTGGGTGAGGTGGCATGGGACCATTAAAGAGGGTCAGGAGGCATTCATGTAAGGTGCTGAACACTTTGATTGAGGGGGTAAGTCAACCTGGTAAGCTGATGGGCCCACTTTCTTGAGGATCTTGAAAGGTCTAACACGCTTGGGACCTAACTTGCGGCAGGGTTGCTTAGAGTGGAGATTTTTGGCGTTGACCATGAACAAGTCACCAGGCTTATACTCAGGTCCTTCATGGCGCTTTTGGTCAGCATATGCTTTGTAGATTCTCACAGCATCAACGAGATGGTCCTTCACTGCTTGATGTATGTCCCTGAGATCTTTAGCGCGCTCATTGGCAGTGACAACTGTGGATTCAATCCTTGGACTTAAGTTGAAACTGGGGTTGTAACCATCGTTTGCAAAGAAGGGGGAAGTGCCTGTAGAGGAATGGGTAAGGTTGTAATAAGAAAA